CCCGAGGAAGCGGTGGCGCCCCGCGGGACCCCTTGTTCCCTCCCGCACGCCGCAGAGCAGTCGCCCCTCCGCTGCTTCCCCCCGCCCCATAGCCAGGGTGCCCCCGGCGGGCCTGGGGGGGCGTGGGGAGCTTTGTGCAAAGCTGGGCGAGGGAGGTGTGGGGCTGGGCGCTCGGATTCCATTCCTTGCGGGGGTCCGGCGGCGCGCGGCGGGGGGGCGGGGGGAAGGGGAGTGACTGGGGACACCCCGGGCCCCCGCCGCCCGCGGACCGGCCTCTGGCGCTCACGGTGCCCTGTGTTGTGCCCACTGATCGTAGGCACAGCCGGTAAGCGGAGCTCCAGCCGTCGCTCCCCCTGGCGCGTCCTGCCGCAGCGAGAGGCATGGAGAAGGCCGCCCCCGGGGGGCGCTGATCCGCGCCCCCTGCCCGCGAGCACAGGCCCCCCGCGTCCCTGCCCCGCCCTGTCCCCCGCCATGACCGGCTCTGCCGCTGACACTCGCCGCTGCCCGCACCCCAAAGGCGCCAAAGGCACCCGGTCCCGGAGCAGCCACGCGCGGCCCGTGAGCCTGGCGGTCAGCGGGGGCTCTGAGGAGGACGACAAAGACGGCGGGGTGCTGTTTCACGTTAACAAGAGCGGCTTCCCCATCGACAGCCACACCTGGGAGCGGATGTGGATGCACGTGGCCAAGGTGCACCCCAAGGGGGGAGAAATGGTGGGTGCCATCAGGAACGCGGCCTTCTTGGCAAAGGTCAGTGGCTTCCAAGGGGCCTGGGCATGGAAGAGGCAATTTCTGGCTACTTGATAGGGCACTGACTCACCCCCCTTCCCCTCTCTCTGCCTCCATCCTGCTGCTTCATTGAGCCTCTGTCTTCCAAGCCTTAGAAATGGGAGGGGTTGAGGGGGGCGGACGAGAGCCCCCCCCCCCCACACCTGGGACTGCCTGGTGGCCAGGTTTCTTTAACTCTGCAGCCAAACTCTGTGACCCTGGCTCACTTCAGGCACATTCTCCTGCAAAGCAGAGCGACCAGGGAAGCCCCAGGGCTCACTGGCCCTTCTTGGCGCCTCTGGGCCCTGAGTGTCTCCCTGGTTAATGATCTATTAGTCTGTGAATGAATTTGCAACCAACCAGTCAGACGTCTCAGCATGAATCATTCCCAGACTTTTGCCAATTTTTTTTGGACAGTGACTTTCTCCTCTGAAACTTGCAAAACTGCAAACTGCCTAATTTCCTGGCTTCTCTGTGCTCTGAGAAAGAAAAGGAGGGGGTTTTGGCTCAAAGGGGCTCTCCGAGACTCGGGACAGCCCAGAGCGCAACTCTTTCCCTGGGGAGAAGCCAGTGAGCCGGCCGGGGCTGGGGGCCAGGACCCATGGGGAGTGGGGAGACAGCGCAGGGGTCAAAAATTCAAGAGATTGGCACAGCAGAGAGGCCGGGTGATGCGTGACAGATGGTGTCCCCTGCACCCTGGAGACACTGGGAGGGCTGAGAAGATTCCTGGGCAGGTCCGGGAATGCCAGGCCTGGGACCCGGATGCCATGTGGTCTGACCCCCCACTTCAAGCAGCTGGTGGCCTGAGCATCTGAGCTGGTAGACCAGGAAGTCAAGTGTGCTCTTGGGTGTCGTGATGGGCCTGAGACTTCGCAGTGGCCTGCTGGGGTTTTCTGACCGCTGGCCAAGAAGGTCTGCCCGATGGCCAGCTGGAGTCTCTTGTCTGGCGTCAAGCACAGAGTTGCTGAGTTCTCCTTGACCTTGAGAACCGCGCTGGGGCAGGCTGGCAGGGCTCGCTTCAGAAACTGGCTTGACTTCAGGGAGTCTTTCTTTACCGAAGGAGGAGCCCGGAGCTCTTAGCCTGGTGGAGAGGGAGCTGCTGGGGACAGAGGCCTGTGCCATTGCTCCCTGCTGCCCTCTGGTCAGCTTGCTCGGCCACGCTGCTTCTGGTGGTGGCTTGGTCCCTCCCCGACCTTGAGAGGACCCCCTTTTTCTATGGGGATCACGGCGTGTGATTTGGACGGAGTCTTCCACCTCTAGCAGGACCTAGAGGTGGCTCGTCCATCCTCTGGCCTGGCCACATCCGGTTGTGGTTGCTGGGACAGAGAAACCTCCTCCTCTCCAGCACATGTCACGCCTGCGCGTGGGGGGTGGGTCGAGCTTTCTTTCCCCTCCGGCTTCCTGCAGCTTGCAAGCTAGGCCTGTCCCCACCGCCTCCGGCTGGTAGCCCCAGGTCACTCTTCAAATCTCTGGCCTCGGTTTCATCATCCCCAAAAGGGGGAGAGACCAGATGTCACGGGCATGTCCGTCCAGGGCTCAACTCCCGCCGTGTGGTGAGCAGAAACACCAGGTCCGCAGTGTTGGTAGTGCCGGGGGGACCCTGGGCCCCAGCCTCAGCCCGGGGCCTTCTGCATGCCCAGGCTACCCTGAAGCCCACAGGGACAGCAGGGGCGTCCCTTTGGGTATCCTGCTCCCTCGCCAACACCTCACCTCCTTTCCAGCCTGTCCCCCGACAGTCCTCTCAATAAGCACATGGGGGACATTGAACGTTGCCTGGGCTGTTTAGAACCCGGAATGAGGCCCCAGAACAGGGCTGACACTCCGTTGTCGTGGCCCAAGGCTGTGTTCTTAGAGGCCCCTTCTCCTCAAAGCAGCCACCCCATCCTGAACTTTCTCACGGCCTGGAGTCACAGGAGAACTGTCGAGGCTGGGCCACCCAGCCCGGGGTGGTGGGCACTGGCTTCTTGGCCCCAAATAGAGAACTTAACGTCCTATCTGAGTGGCAACATCAGAGCTCGCTCTCGGCCCGATCCCCTCACTGGCTCGTACTTCTCAAATGATTAGTAAATGTGAACATTTCTCCCCAGATCTTTGTTCCCTGTTTACGTTTCCTCGCTGTGTATTTTGGGGACACACAGAGCAGGAAGTTTACCGTCCAGCTCTGAGTGTGTCCACGCTGCTGTGTGATATCACACCGTCGGCCCCCAGCTGATGCTTCAGTCCCAGCTGAGACTTTGTCCCACTGAAATGCATGCTTCGTTTCACGCCCCAGCCCCTGCACCCACTCTTTTTTCTGTGTCTAATTCAACCTCATTGAAATGGAGCCAGGCATTATGTGTTCTCTTGTGACTGACTTAGTTCACAGAGTGTAATGTCTTTAAGGTTGACCCATGGTATAGCCGCTTTGGAATTTTCTTCCTTTTCATGGCTGAGTAATATTCCACTGTACAGATGGACCAGATTGCATTTATCTAAGCCTTCGTCCACGATTCTTGACTTGCGTCTACTTTTTGTGGCTTTTTTCTTTCTTTTTTAAAAAGATTAGATTTACTTCTTTACACACAGAAGGACTGGGGTACAGCCCAGAGGGGTAGGTGAGGAGAGGACTCCCCAGAGACAGAGTAGAGAGCAGAGCAGGCGGATCTACTGAAGCCCACTGCTGAGGGGAGCAGCGGGGAGACAGGAGAGGTCTGCTGCGCCCTGTGGGTCACTCCCTGGCTGGGGATTGAACCCAGCCGCAGCAGTGACACCTGCGACTCACCTCGAGGCCACAGGAGAGGCCTTTTGTGGCCATCTTCTTTTCATTGAGACCTAAAGAGTTTTCTGAGCACTGCACGAATTCTTCAGGAGTGAGACCCACTAACTCACCGACGCCATGAGTGTCCAGGGAGAGCGGAATTTCCTCCTTTCCATTAGGGCGAAGAGGCATCATGCGATGCCCCCAGGGGCGTGTGTGAAGGCCTGGTCACCGCAGTCTGCTTTCCTGAAAAGCAAGGACCACACAGGCTTCCAGTGCAAACCCCTGAGAACTGCACTTGCTGAAGGACCAGCCAGCAACACCCAGAGTTGCCTGAGTGGGGACCTGAAGGCTGCAGGGAAGGGACTGCAGGCCGCAGGCCATGCTTGCCCGGAGGCCACAGGGCAGGGCGACGGGGCATGACGTGAACCTTGCGTCCACCCCCCTGAGCCCGGCTCACTGCTCAGGTCTGTAGGGACGTGGTGGCTGAGGCTGTTGGAGTTTGCCCCAAAGCCCAGCCTGACCCGCCACCCAAGAGGTCAGGGTGCATTGTGGCCAGCTGATGTCACCCTCAGCTGTCTCTCCACCTCCCCCGCGCCCCCCCGACCTTGCTCCCACTGCAGCTGCCCTGGGAATGTGGCCCCAGCCCCTCAGCCTGGCTAAGTAACTGGCAGCTGCTTATAAAATCCTCTGGGCGCCACTGGGCCGCCATTCTGAGGCCCAGCTGCCTCCGGGCCCCACCCACCCTGGGGCTCCCGGGGGCCCTGTTAGGGTGTGTTCAGTGACAGAACGCTCTGGGGGACCCCCAGCAGGCCCCGAAGGAGACTCTCTGGCCACCCCAAGGTTCTGACCAAGGACGCCCCAGGGCTCTGAGGCGGCCGGACATTCTTGGGGCCTCTCCAGCTTCCCCACATGGGGGTGCCCAGCCCTGTGTGCAAAACTGCAGGCTCCTGCCGGCCCCCGCTTCCACCTGGCCCGCCAGGGCTGCGAGGAGGGGAGTCCCAGGGGAGCAGTTTGCTCCCCAAAAGACTCTCCGAGAGGGATGGCGATTGGAGTCGTCACGTGGCAAACCCCAGTTTGCAGGAGCTGTGCAGGCGTGAACACAGCGGCCCAGCGGCTGCACACAGGCCCTCGCTCAGCACCTGGCTGTGGGCAGGGTGTGGACAGCTGCTTTGGCTGGGGGCAGCGCCGTGGAGTGGGGCGTTCCAAAGCCAGGAGGAGCTCCGGGGGCGGGGGCAGGAATGTCGAGGGCCCTCGTGAGTCAGCGCCGCACAGGGGGGCCGGGCCGGGCTGCTGACGGCAGGCCCAGCGCCCCAGGGTCTCGCTCCGGGCCCCCCCAGGCAGAGCTGCTGAGACTGAACCCCGAGAGGCGGCACTATCCCCCTGCCCACACTGGCCGCTTTTCCTTTCTCTGCCCTGCAGGGACCAGCGGGTGGCCCACTCGATTCTGACCAGAGCAGGCGAGGAGCGGGGTGACTGGGCCGCTAGGAGGGGTCCAGGGAAGGTGGTTCCCCAGTGGCGAGCCGAGGCCCCCCCCGGGTGGCGCGGGCGGGGGCTCTGAAGCCACCGGGTCTGGCTCAACGCGCACAAGTGCGAACTCCCACCAAGCCTCTTAGTGAGGACTCGGGGCCTGGACGTGGGGGGTCTCGGCTGAGGGGCCCAGTGTTCGGGGGGCGGCCGGCTGGCGCCTGGACGTGGGGGGTCTCGGCTGAGGGGCCCAGTGTTCGGGGGGCAGCTAGGAGGCCGCCCAGGGGCAGCAGTTCATGCAAGGCGCGCCCACGACAGACCACGTGGCTGGCCATGGAGGACTCACGTGGCTCTGGGCTGCCCTGTGGGTGCCCCTGACCAGACCCTGGAGGTGCCTCCCGGGGGCACCCCCAGGGCAGAGCCAGTCGCATGGCTCCAGGTCCCAGCTTGAGCAGCGCGCGTTGGTCACAGAGGTCACTCTCCCTCGGCTGCCCTCTGCCGTCCTCGGGGAGGGCCATTCTCGTGTCAGTGGGGGCGGGCCTTTGCTGTGTCAGCTGGCCTGGGGGGTGCGTGCATTGGTATTCCGGGGTGCAGGGAGTCGTGGCGCCCGCCCCACACCGCTCTGCCCTTCCCCTTTCCTCTCTGCAAAGGGCGCCCCAAGCAGAGCGCAGGTGTCGGGGAGCCCCGCCCCGGGGCTAGAGAGGGTGCCTGCAGCCAGGCTGAGTTCAGTGGGCAGCTCAGGGCCAGGCTGGGGGCTCAGGGGGCGCCACTGGGCGTGGCCCCGACCTCCAGCAGGTGCTGAGCCGAGCGGGGGGGTGCCTCACCGCGCTCAGGGACCATGTGGGGCCCCCGGCTGCCTGGGGCCTTCCCTGCCCCTGCGGGTCCCCAGCCAGGTGGCCCCTCGCCCTGCGCCAGGGCGTCCCTTGCTAGAAAGCCCTCTGTCCCCCCAGCCGTCCATGCCCCAGGTGCCCAACTACAGGCTGTCCACGCCCATCCCGGACTGGCTGCAGGCGGTGCAGAACTACATGAGGACGCTGCAGTATCCTTCCCAGCCGGCCTGGGGCCGCCAGCCCGGGTCTGGCCCCCGCGGCTCCCCGAGGTTGGTGGGGCTGGGCCTGAGGGCGGCCCGAGCCAGGGTCCGAGAGAGAGCAGACCGCCCCCTTTGGGCAGGACATGGGCAGGCTGGGGGGGCCGCGGGGGGGCCTTTCCCGCCCCCTCCCTCCTCTCCCTAGTCGTCTCCTGGCCTGCTGGGGCCTCAGTCCGCATCTCCCCTCATGCCCAGAGGCCCTGCAGGCGCCGGCCCTGCTGGCCAGTCCAGTGACCTGCGGGCTCATGAAGGAATGCGCCGGCCTCTGGAGGCGGCCTCCCCTCCCTCAGCTGGGAGAAGGGGGGAGCCCTGGGGAGCCCCGGGAGCCTGGACTCTGCTACAGGCTGGGGCCTCCTGTGGAGCTCTGTGTCTTCCCCCAGGAACTGAACGCCATCACCAGACACACACGCCCCACACCCCCACACTCCACACACACACCCCATATACCACACACACCCCCACACACACCCCACACCACACACACACAACCCACATATCACACACATCCCAGATCACACACACCACATACGCACATACATGTATCCTACACACGCATCACACATACCACACCCCACACCCCCCCACACCTTACACACCACATACACAAACCCCACACACACCACAATACCACACCACAACCCCCACACGCTCCCACACCCCACAAACATCACACACACCACATACACGCCCCCCCACACCACACACCCCAAATCACACCACACACACCCCACTCAACACACACATCACACCCCCCACACACACACACACCCTCACACCCCACAAACCACATTCCACATACACTCACAGCACACACAGCTCAACACACACAGGGCTGGGTTGCCCACGGGAGAAGAGTGCAGCAATCTGGGTGGCCATATCGCAAAGACTGGCCTCTCAGTCCCCCGCCCCAGGTTACAAGCTCTTCCTAGTGCCACCCCGAGGTGGTACTCAGAGAAGCGGCCCCCTGGGGGTCAGCCCTAGCCCAGAGGGCCGCCCCGGCAGGCAGCCTGGACGGTTCTTCTCACCCGCACCTGCCATTTCCAAACAGGGAGCTTGTTAAGACCAACAACCTGAAGCTTCCTGTCCAGCGGCCACCGCCCTGCACTTCTGTCCATCTCGACATCCATCGCCCCTTCTCCCTCCCTCTGTCCCACCCTTCCTGCCTCCTTCCA